TTTCCATAACATCCCTCCCCTCTGATTATTATCTTAATCACCACACCAACTTGGTTGCCTTCACCAGCTTCCTCTCCTCTGCCTGTCATTTCAATATTAAACCCGCCTTCCCACCTTCTGTCTTGTTCTTATTTCAGTCTCCCTGAGTGGTCTCACTTATGACTGTTTCAGCTGACTCCTTATTTGCTTATGAATCTCAAACCTGTATCTACCTATGACCTGTCTCTGAATTCCTGCCTGTATTTCTGATCACTTCCAAGCGCATCCAGCTACGTTGCCCAAACTCAAGTTTTGAGGAGTCTTGAATTTCTTTGAAAATCTGATGAAAGAGTACCCCCTCCTAAATGTGCATATGCACAACATTCTTCATATAATTTCAGGGAGTCTTGGACTGCCTGAAGCCCATCTATGCCTTCTGGATCCATGGACCCCAAGTTACTATCTCTTGGACTAGGACGAACAGGATCAAGTCCAGATGCCCCAGCTTGGAATCAGAGATTCTTCTGTTTCATACAATCATATGGCCATTGGTTGTCAACTGGATCTTGCTCAGAATCTCTCCATAGTGCTCTTGAGCATATACCTTACGCTATAATTTTGTATACATTTGCTCTGGTTTAGGTTCTTAGTCTAGGTCTTAGGATTCTGATTTTGGAAATCCTGTTTTGATCTATTGGTATTTTTGTTCTACAGATACCTGGGCGTAGAGGGAAAATCAAATTTTCTAATTTTATTGCTTTTTGAGGTGTCAATAAAATAACTGGTTTTTCTTTCTGCCTGTAAGAAATTTCAGAATGTACTTTCTCATGCTTTAACCGAGTGTAGCCCGCTCTGCTTTAAAGACGCTATCAGTTTCCTCCCACCATAGCCTTCATCTATCCCTACTATGTTAAATTAATGCTTGGACTAAGGTAGGCTGACCCTGCTACTATGGAATACCAAGCAAGCATAGCACAAAAAGTTAGCTTCCGTTGCTTAGCAGAACTCCATTTTCCAGGTGGGAAGAGATTTACATCTGCCCTAACGTAACTCAACCAACTGGCCATCTGTGTTACAGTGGAGATCCTTCACCATTGCCCGGCAGGTTTCAGCTATTACTGTAAAAGCTTGCATTTCTAATTCAAGAAATTAGATAGAGGAAGGATAGCCTTCCTCTATCCTTTCTGGCACAGTCTCCTTCCTTTCTAAGTTGTTTCCACGTTTGGTAACTGAACAAACACTGGAAAAGTACATCAAATGAGGCTTCAAGTCCAACGAGTGCAGAGACGGTTTAGTTTTCTTAGCCTAGGAGCTCTCTAGTCTGGAAGCTTGGTCTTTGGAGTCTCTAGAAAGAGAAATGATTCCACAAAGATCCAAGCTTTCTCGCTGTCTACATATCCCAATACATCCCCAAGAGCGAACCCTCTCCTGATTGGAAGGACACGGCTTTGAGAACCTCTCTCCATTCCAAATTCATCCAGAAGCAGAATTCCCCTAACAACTCTGAACTGCCTTAGCCACAACATTTGTGGGCGGAATCGCCCACTTCCGTCCAGAATACAATATTAGAACAGAAACAACATCCTGTTCCCTAGAGCCAGTGCCAGAGGATAAATTGGCATCTTCCTCATTTACCTGATTATTCTCTTCTATTTTGGTGACTTATTTACCTCCTAATGCTATTTGCCTAGCCAGATCCTCCCTGGCTCCATTCTAAACTCTGCCTTCTTTTCAGATCCTACGTATATTTCTTGTCAACTCCTTTCTATATCAACTGTTGCCTGCCTTGACTTCTATCTACCAGATTTTACATTAGACATGCCTGACTTTATGTTAGTAACAGTTATAAACTCTACAAACTTAATGAGGATTAACAAAGTTATCTCTTAATATTTCTGTATTGAAAGTAAATAATCATGGGGCGAGCCTGGTGGCATAGTGGTTGGATTTGCATGCTCTGCTTCAGCAGCCCAGGGTTCACAGGTTTGGATCCTGGGCACGAACTTAGACACTGCTCATCAAGCCAGGCTGTGGTGGTGTCCCACATACAAGAAATAAAAATTGGCACAGATGTTAGCTCAGCAACAATCTTCCTTGGGCAAAGAGGAAGATTGGCAACAGATGTTAGCTCAGGGCCAAACTCCTCACAAAAAAAAAAAAAAAAGGAAAGAAAGTAAATAATCATGAAGAAGTTTTAAAATAATTTTCCACAATTAGAAAACTGCATAAGTAGGTTTTAACAAATATTACTCCTTATATTGTTATTAAGAACAATGTAGGTGGCCGGCCCCGTGGCCAAATGGTTAAGCTCACATGCTCTGCTTTGGCAGCCTGGGGTTTCGCCAGTTTGGATCCTGGGCATGGACATGGCACTGCTCATTGGGCCACCCTGGGGTGGCAGCTCACATGCCACAACTAGAAGGACCCACTACTAACAATACACAACTATGTACTGGGGGGCTTTGGGGAGAAAAAAGGAAAAATCTTAAAAAAAAAAAGAACAATGTAACCATTAGTATTCATTTATAACATTTTCTTTTTACTTTCCATTATCGTCAAAAAAATTTCTGTAGGCTAGGTAATGCATAGTCATTGCATGTCAAAAACACAGTTGAATCACAGAAACACATAATACGCGGTTTTTAAGTTTTGTTCACTGAGTGAAGTGTTAACATGCATCTCTACCATGGAAAGCTGAGTCGGTATGCCTTTGACCTGGCACCAGGAAGAGGAAGGTGTTAATTACCGTGTTGCCATGAGGTTTATGAACTGGCATTAACATCTCAGCAGGAGCAAGGGTGGCACAGTGGCAACTTCTGAGAATGGTGAAGAAAAGCATCATTACCTACAGATTTATTTTCAGTTACAAAACCTCATGCTTTTTATTTGAATGATACTCAACAAACGTTATTTTTAAAGGACATTACTCTCTTAGTAGCATAATTACCACACCGTCTTTATTATCTGCATAATTAAAACATAAATACTTCTCCGTGTAGCAATTCGGTGCAGATACGTGGTGAACGTGTTAATTCATCTTTGAAATCCATTACAGCTGTGCTGCGCTCAGCACTGTGGAGGTTTGGTGAACAGAGCTGAATTTTCAGAACACTCTGTTGAGAAACCAACTGCTCACAGTCCCTAAATAGTTTTAAAAATCTTTCCAATAATGGCATGTATACTGTTTTTTGAATGCCACAATTACACACTCCAAAGTCAGTCTCTTCAAATTAACTCTTTTGGCCAGTTTTCCTGATAGAATCCATGCTCAGAGTGTTGTGTTAGGAAAGCTCATTTAGAGCCATCAGGGAAGTCTTTCTTATCCATCTAAACTTTTAGGTCAGAGACTCTAGAATGACTTCTGATCTTATTTATTTAGGGAAAACTACATATATTTTAAAATATTTTAGGAGCCACATTCTTGAAATCTAAGTATCAATTGCAGCTTTTTTATGAAACACTTATGGCCTGCCTGAATTCTAATTTTATATGAAAAGAGCAAGAGATTAAAATGATAGGGTTACAGGACATGGTTCATGATCGGTTTGAGATGAATGAACAGAAGTGTTATGAACTTTGATGTGCCAGTTAATGGCCAGATTGCTTGGCACACATCTGTGTAGCAGGCCAAAGAAGTATTTGCAAACATGGTGACTCCTGAATGTGACACTGGTTCTGGGAAAGGGGGTGATTTTAAAAAATCGTTGTTGAAAGAAGACAGAAATCACATATTAACTGTAAAATGGAACCCTAGTCACTATGATTTCTGAAGCTATTTCTGGAAAAAAGTTAATTAAAATATATTCAAGTAATGAATTAATTCCACATGTAGATGTAATCTAAATTAACATCATCATTTTTGCAGAGATTTTTACTGTAAAGGAATATTCTTCTCTTATATGTCAACATCCTAAGAGCATATATCACACATCCTTCTATTTTAATCATGTAAATTGACTTTATAAAGGTTAATTAATGGAGAAGCAAACCTATGACAAAGTTTTTTGAAGGAACTATAAATAAAAGAATTATTTGTAAGTTATTTCTGTTCAAACTAGTGTCTGGTACCCCTTATGGCATTAAAACTGAGGTTGGTTTAATATATTTTTTTTCTAGTACATGCTTTTAGTAAATAGTAACTTATTTAGAACTAACTATAGAATACGAAATAAAAAAATTAGTTTTAATGTTCTAATTTAGTTTAATGTAGTATTTGCTTTAGTATTACTATGAGATTGCCATTTAATAAAAAAATCAAACGAAATCAAGAGAAAAAAATAGGGAACAAAAAGAACATTAAAAATACTTTGGTTTTTAATTTACTGTTTTATAAATGAGGTGAATATCATGCTATGTACTTAGAGTCATAACTTTATATGTTTTCAAATAAAGAAAACTGTATTAATGTATGTTTAGATTATGGTGAATTAGCAATTAAATAATTCTTTTAATTTTTGCTATGTCAGCATGTATTATAACTTAAGAGAAAAGATGATCATGATTTTTTGGATACCATTATAAATTCCTTAAGACTTGGGAGCATATTTCATTACTCATTTTTCACTTTCTCCTCTTCTCTTGAGCATCAAGTTCACCAGTTTGTACATTTTAGTTCTTTAAATATTGGGTTTTGTATTTAAAATAAACATCAAATAAATAGGTTTTTGTCCTTAGTGAGAAGATAGCATGTGTAAATACAGAACCATGCCAGGCATGTGACTGGTATTAAATAAGTTCCTGCTAAATCTGAAACTTGCCTCTTTCTCGTTATAGAATTTTCTTTGCCATAGTGTTGATATCATATAAGGGGAAAGGGAAAAAAAGCAATATCCATAATTCATTTTGCATAATCACCGTGTTCTAAAGGTTAAATAGGTATATTTTTTGTTTAGTTCAGACTCTTGACTAAAGCTAGCAAATAGTTTGAAAACCTATCACATTTTGGATGCGGAAGTAATTATACTTGCACAGTTTTTGCAGCCAAATTCTGATTTTTTTTTTCCCCTTTTGGTTTATGAAAGCTGAAAATAGAAAACTTTTTCACGAACAAGAAGTTGAAAAATGCCTTGTAGCCCTTTTGGGTTCCGAGAGCGATGGAACTAAAATTGCTGCCTCCCAGGCCATTTCGGCCATGTCTGAGAATGCCGGCAGCAAAGAGTTCTTCAACAATCAGGGTAAGCTGAGCGCGGGAAACCGGCTTGAACCTTTTTGGGTTACCTGCCACCTTCTCTAGTTTACGCGGATGTTTGTAAAGTCACATTTTCACCTTTCCTTTTTGTGTAGGGATCCCACAGTTAATTCAGTTGCTAAAAAGTGACAACGAAGAGGTCAGAGAGGCTGCCGCCCTCGCCCTGGCCAATCTGACCACTTGTAATCCTGCGAATGCAAAGTAAGTACAAAAGGACTCACTCGGCGCGGCCTGTTATGGGAGAGCTAACGTCCGAGATGCTCTCATTTTAATCTTTTGGCTTTCAAGGCAGTTTACATATTCATTCCATAGCTCAGGTTATTCCTTAGGAACTCCATGGAAATAAAAGTCATCAGATAGGCCGGTTTTCCAAAGATATTACAAAATCTTGACTCTATCTGGGCTTCTTGGGAAAACGTGTGGACCGTTGGATTCAGACAACAGGCTAACTCTTGTGGAAGGTTCCAGTACAAATCAAACTGGATAATGATGGAAATATTAAAGATGACATTATAGAAACATTTGATAAATCTGGAAAAAAATTTTAAAGCTCTATTTTAAGAGGACATAAACATTAGGTAAATCTAAAAACATTTAAAAAATAAATTTAGGGGCTGGCCTGGTGGCGCAGTGGTTAAGTTTGCACGTTCTGCTTCTCGGTGGCCCGGGGTTCACTGATTCAGATCCCGGGTGCAGACATGGCACCACTTGGCAAGCCATGCTGTGGTAGGCATCCCAAATATAAAGTCGAGGAAGATGGGCACAAATGTTAGCTCAGGGCCAGTCTTCCTCAGCAAAAAGAGGAGGATTGGCAGAAGTTAGCTCAGGGCTAATCTTCCTCAAAAAAAAAAAAAAAAGAAGAAAGAAAAAAGAAATAAATTTAAAACAACATATCATGGGTAAATACTTTGAAGAAAGGTTGAAAAGGAATGCCTTCTGTATTCCAAGCACTGTGGCATGTGGGTTACATTCTTTTAAAAATTTAATTATCAAGATAATCCATCAACTAATGAGGAAACTGAGACTCTGCCAGGTTACTTCATTTTCGTGGGAACATACATTTATTAAAATAGCCACTTTTAGGAAATTAAAGCCACGTCTGTTGGTCTCCGAAGTCTGTGTTATTTCCCCTACAGAAGATAAGGTTGCCTTATAAAACAGTAAGAACTTCTTGAAGGCAACTTTCATAAATGGAATAGTTATTTACTCTCCCTATATTTCGTATGAGAATTAGTCAGGGTTCTCTAGAAAAACAGAACCAATCGGAGAAATGTATGAGGAGATTTATTAGAGGACTTGGCTCCTGTGATTATGAAGGCTGAGAAGTCCCATGATCTGCCATCTTCAATCTGGAGAACCAGGAGCAATGGTGTTGTAATTCAGTCTGAGTCAGAGGGCCTGAAAACCAGGAGTGCTGATGTCCAAGAGAAGATGGTTGTCCCAGCTCCAGCTGTAAGCTAAGTGGCCCTTTTTGCTCCTTTTTTGTTCTATTTGTGCCCTCAGTGGATTGGATGATGCCCACCCACATTTGTGAGGGCGATCTTCATTCAGTCTACTGATTCAAATGCTAATTGCTTCCAGAAACACCCTCACAGACACTCAAAAATAGTATTTTGCCAGCTATCTGGGCATCCCTTAGCCCGGTCAAGTTGACACATAAAATTAACCATCACAATACGTTAGTTATTAATTTTGGTATGTTATTGTTTTATGGCATTGTGGCTAAAATTACCCTTTTCTAACTTGAAATAAATCTGCCTCCACCCCCATCATATTCTTAAGCCATTTCTTACCCGTTCTTTCCCTTTCTCTACTCCCACACAAATATTTTAATGAAGTGACTAAAAATCTAACAACGCCCAATAAAAATATAGCCGAGATGCATAAGCATCAAAGCCAAATTGTGTTCCTTTAATAGATACGATCTTTGACATGGTAATTTCCTAAATTCGGGGTCATCATCATCTGGTATGGAAGCACACAAATTTCTAGAGTATTGAGTCCCAGTAAGTAGCAATTTGAAAATAGCATATTTGGTGATTTTTCCAGATAGTCATGCCAGTGCAAAAATCTTATCTGTGACACTAAAACACTTCCACCCCCAGTGCCTTTAGATGTACATATTATCTGGAATACTTTAACAGACCTCCAGAGTGTATAAATGTCTTGATTTGATGTGAGTTTACCTGGCTTATATCATTTCACAATTTTAAGTAAACATAGAAAATTAGGATGGTAAGTAGTTCTAGAGAACACTGCCTTCAGATTTTCTCTTTCAATTATCTGTTTCACAGATTTTTGTCATCTGACTCTGCAGTTTCATTTTGTGAGCACAGAAAAGTCAATTAGGACTAAATGATGCCTGACATTTCCTCCATGACAATCAACTTTATTTTTGTAGGTTAATTTTATTTTCATAAATTTTTAACTGCTGTCATTTCTTTAGCGTATTATATACTGTCCATTCTGATTTTTTTTTTTTCAATTTGTGTTTGGTTACGGAAATGGGACATGAATGAAATTGGTTTTATAGATGTCCTTTGAGGTCTATACAGTTTTTACTTTGGACTTTATGAGCAAAAAGATGTGAAAATAAATGCTTTTAAGGAGGAAATGGAGTCAGATTTGACATGTTTGTGCCAAACGCTGATGACTGGAGTTGAAAAAGATTCTATAGTCAATCAAAAGGAATGAAAACAAATAAGCCATGTTGTCCATCCTTCTGGTAAGGCTCCTAAAGTGTTAACTACTGAAGTTAACCACAGCAGAAGAGAAAACAAAGGTGAATGCTTATTTTTAATAAAAAAATATTTTCTACTCGGATTGTCTTTAAAAAATCATTAGCTTAAACTCGGCATTGGTGAGTGTTTCCAGCATCACTTTTTGGAAGTGGTCCATTCCATCACCTTTCCTAGCAAAGGGCTATAGGACCTGGGCTGAGTCCTGGCTCTGCTGCTGGGGTGGCTGGAGTGGGGGGTTAGAAAGAGTTGAAAGCTGCTTTTCCGCCACACCTAAGTAGTAAGGAAGAAGGCAAAAACCCAGAGATAATGTGTTCCAGGTGCATTTGGTAGATGTTTGGATACTTGATAATTGCTAGTCCTAATTAAGCTAAAATATAGTTAAGCACTGTGAATACTAATTCTGTTTGTTAAAATGTAACCTTTCTCTTATAGCCGTATCTTGATGTGGCCAGATGATTTCTAATTTGTAAACTCAGGGTACCTTCTGATGTTGGAAGCTCGTTTCATGAACTGAGTATTCATTGGTGTGTTGATAACATGAAATGCTAGCGTAATTTCCATTATGTAACGTATTTTTGCCTGGAAAGTTGTGGGTAAATTAAAATTTTCTAAGTTAAAGGAAAAAATCAACCCAAAAGGAGAAACATACTTTGTGGTGACTCTTTGTAAAAATGACAAATACTTTTTAAAATTAAGTACTTTTCTAATCTAAAAATAGAATTTTATAATGCATGTAAAATAATTTGTAATCTAAAATACCTGAATTCAAATTTTCACGTCTTGCTTTCTTACAAAAGAAAACATGCTCATATGTAATAAAATAGTAAGATGATGAGCAATTTTGGTGGCAATGATAAATAAATAGCCAGACCATCCATACCCCTTTGTGGAAGATTTTCAACTTTAATTATAAATATCACTTTAATTGGTACCAAAAGATCTTACCTAATAGTATTCTCTGTGAACAAGGCTTCCTTGACACTCAAGTTTTCTAGATGTTTGAAAATTTACTTCTTTAATCAACAAAGCTTTTTTAAATGTGTAATGAGTTTGAGGATTGGCCTGGTGGCATAGTGGTTAAGTTTGCGCACTCCACTTTGGTGGCCTGGGGTTTGCAGGTTGGGATCCCGGGCGTGAACCCTCATACTGCTGATCAAGCCATGCTGTGGCGGTGTCCCACATCCAAAATAGAGGAAGATGGACACAGATGTGAGCTCAGTGACAATCTCCTCCTCACCTAAAAAAAAAAAATTTGTAATGAGTTTGAATTAAAATCTTCTAAAATCCTTCCCTCGTAACCTTGTGAAACCGATCATACTGTTATTGAACTTTGGGGGGGGTGTATTATGGTTCCCATTTGGAGTGAGTGGCATCATACACTCTACGGTGGAGCTGTCAGGACCCCGCAGGGAGGCGGGTGCTCTCCCCGAGCTCCGAGTACAGCCTCAGGGCACAGTGCCTTTGGGAGTGATGCATTTCATGGACTCCTCGCTGGCAGGCTGTCAGTATTAATTTTCACTGCTGGCCATAGATCGGATTGGCAGGGCCATCCTGTTGAAGTCCTCTTCAAACCCCTTCCTTTCAGTCAGTTCAAAGCTTGGGTACCAGGTAATCAAGCTTTATCAAATTTTATATAAAAGCCATAAGTGGGGCCTGAGGCTCCTTCTCTAAATGGTGTTTTGGTCCTCAGAGGCCATTTCTTTTCTCTTTTTTGGAGAGTTCTCATATATATTCTGGATATATGAAGTTTCCAGGTATGTGAGCTATGGATAAATGAGACTGTAGTTTAGAAAACAATCTAACAAACACTAATCCCTTTACTTACAAATAAGCCAGTGTTGGGGAGTAAAATGATGAAGAGTAGGTCATAGAGTATGTTCTGGAAGTACATTCGGTCAACTTCCAGTAAGTATTTTGCCCATCCTCTCTGCGTGGAATGTTGTTCTGTCCCAGAATGCCCGCTGCTGGCTCCCTCACCCCCTTCAAGTCTGCTCAAATGTCACCTCCAGGAAGCCTAGCAAGACTGCAGAGTTTAGAGTTGCAGCCCCCACACGTATTCTCCCTTCCCTGCTGCCCTTTTTCATAGCGCTTATTATTTTCGAACATACTACATAACTCACTCATTATGTTTATGATTTATTTTCTGGCCCTCCCTCTGACTAGCACCCGTGAAGGGAGCCCCTCTGTTTGTGTAATTCACTGGTAACACACCAAGCATCCAGGATAGTGCCCATCCCATAGTAGGCATTCAGGGGAAATGGGCTTAGACCAAAAATACAACCAAAAGGAGGACAGTGAAAAACAGAAGGTCTGTCAACCAACGCCGAGAACATAAAACAGAAAGTGATCTGTACTGTTCTGTTTGTTTGTTTTTGCATAATTTGGATCACAGAAGCAACAGTGGAGACTTACCTGTAAGAGTCTTCTATTCATACTTTTTATTCTTTATTATCTGCAGAA